GCAAAGGGAGTTGCACAGGCAACATCCATACAGCGTAGAGCATAGAGCATAGCTTGATGCTTTGGAAATTAATTTGAGAAATTTCTTTGGAGCATGGAAAAAGGATATTTCTTATTTAAACTTTTGCTGTTCATTTTGTCGATTAATTAAATGCTTCTAAATTGACTATTTTTCGTTTATTTTATGCATTTTCAACATTAATTTTTCATTTGTATGAAATTACAAAAAAAAAAAAAACATTTTCCAGCTTTCTGGCAATTATGAAATATTTATGCGGCATATTTAGAAAGTTACACAACAAATTAGTGGATGTGCAAACAAAGGCGCCAATTACATAATTAATTTAATCAACGAAATATCAAATATTAAATGGAGAGAAATTTCAGAGCGAACAAAAAAGGAAGGAACGCAAATCGAACGTTTAAATTGATTTCATCTTCAGGGGATGCCAATCAGAAGAAGGCTTGTCGACTCGTCACTGGATAATAATTAAGGAAATGTTCTTCTTGGGGTAATAAGTCCTTCCTCTTCCAAAACCCATTAATATATGTATCCTCTGTTGAGGCCATCAACATATATTCAAGTTAGAAATGTAATAAATGCTTCCAGGGATCGCTGCCATCTAGCGTTAATTTAGTGAAAAATATCTTAAATGATGACTGTTTGCCCCAACTATTCCTCCATATCCCCAACTGACACTTTAATTTGCAATTTTTCTTATGGCTTTTGGCTTCCTTTTGGGGGCAGCATCGAAAAGTTTGCTGCAAAAAAATATTGATAAACCATGATGGTTAATGCTCTTGGGGGCTTCCGGCTGCAATTTAACTTTGCTCAAAGGCGACTTAAAATTTGATTTATTGCACACTCAAGTCAGTCTATCCCTCCGTCTGTTTGTCAGTCTGTCAGTCCGTCAGTCAGTCCGTCAGTCAGTCAGTCAGTCAGCTGTTGGGTTCCTAGATACTCTCCTGCATATGTATGTGTGTGAGTATCTCTCGCGCTCTGCTCCCCAATCAGCGAGTCGTCCGCTGCATAATAAAAATAAAAATTTTGAACGCTACATTAAAACAGAGAAGCGAACAAACAGAAGCGTGTAAAAGTGCTGTAACTTTGGCTACTAACCAATAAAAACAACAGCAGCGGCAGCGGCAGCGGCAGCGTCAGCTCGTTGCATGTGGATGTGGCACGGGAATGAGGTTTACTATGGAGAATGGTAATGGGTGCTGGGGTGCTGGGGTGTGGGGTATGTGGAAGGAGGTATGGGGCATTGGTAGTACAACGACGACGGCTGCTGGTGCTGCTGCTTTGATCAATCAAGCGTCAAAATTATTGCCTGGCTGTGGCACGGGGCAGCGTCAGCGTCAGCAACAGCGACAGCGACAGTTTGAGTTGCAAGTTGGATTGCGGCAGGCGTTCGGGCAGTGAAGAGGGATGGGACGAGCGAGTGAGAGCGACCGGAGCGCGGATGCAATTATAACCATTTCCACGTGACGCTTCATTGAGCTCCATTCGCTCCCAGAGGCGGATAGCTCGCTCCAGAGTTGAGCGGTCGCCGCTCGGCAGAAGCCGTTAGTTGTTGTTCATGGCTAAATGGAAATTTATTGCCCACCAGCAACGCCCACGCAGCTGCCACCACCCCCCCGACCAATCCATCGGGCTCGTGCAACTCTAATGAAAGCGAATCGAAGCGGGGCGAGTGCGAGTCCGAGTGCGAGTACAGTGGCTATACGTAGCAGTACAGTACAGTGCAGCCCAGATGGTGGATGGCAACTCTGGGCCTCCGGCCAAATGTGCTGTGTAGGACACTTTAAGTAGTGCTGCAGCCTCCTCCATCTACGTGGAGTACTATCATCTGTGTGTGTGTGTGTGTGTGTGTCTGCTCGTGTGTGATTCTGATGCAACTGGCTGCACCGCCCAGAGGGGTATTGCAACATCGTGTAGAAGCCATCATCATCGTCATTCTCAGCGTTGTTTGTTGCACTGAGCGAAATTTGAGTTGCTCAAATAGGGAATACATACGCTTAAGTGCATAATAATTATTATTTATATAATACAACAAATTATTAATTTTAGTATAATTTCAAGACCCATAAACCATAATTTTAATTCTTTGAAGAACATCCATGTTAGTCTGGAAGACCATTTCCAGATTCCAGAACTAAAAAGGTTGCCATAGGGCTTCAGGGTCTTACTTGTACAATTTCGAATCAAATAATAATAAAATATTAAGAGTCTTTAAATATATGAATATTAAAAACAGTTAAACAATAAAATAATTACCAGAAGTTCAACGAAGGTCAGTCATTAAAAGAGTCGTTTAAAAGGCCTTTGCTAATCATTGGAAGTAACATATTTCGAACCGAATAAACGATTACTAAACATAATAAATAATGTACTTTGACACCAAGAAACGACTGAGAAATCTCAACCATTCAATAGAATTTTCGATTGCTTGCTTTTTGGAATTATTTTTGGATCCGACCATCGTACTAAGCATTGCATCCCGAAACAACACAACTAGAAAATAATTCCTTCAAATAAAGTCACATTTAGATTAACGATTAAAGCTTATGTCATGTATACATAGATAGTAGGACTAAGTCAAAACCGTTTGAGCTAAACATTTGTGCAGATAGAATTTGAGGAACATTATACTACTGATTCCAGACTGCTTTTCTGTCAGCAGCTTTTTATCTACGATGAAAATTTCCACTTAATTCAGGATCAATATTTTCAGATTGACAATTCGGAAATGGTTTTAGCGTGGAGCTAATTTCCGCTCAGTGTGCTGCTACTCAAGTTATGCCCACTCACATATGCAGCTGGCTGGAGAGGATGCGATGCTGCATGCTGCCTGCACGCGGCTGTGTGAATCAGGATGAGGATGAACAGCATGGTAGGCCCGGCCCGGCCCGGCCCCGGCTCCTGGCCGCTTCCAGCCGGGCTGTTATTATGCGCCCGGTGTGGCGCATAATGCAGCTAATCTAGGGAATTAGGTAGAAAGGGCTGACAAAAGCCAAACAAGCTGAAGTCCAAGGCCCTCTTGGATGCTCCGTTGCCATCGCTGTTGATGTTTCAGCTGATGCTGCTGCCTGCTGCTGCCACTTCTGCTGCTGTATCTGCAGCAACATTGCAATTTTGTAGCCTATTACGGAGAGGACTGGAAGACGATATGGTTGCTGAGTGACTCACAGCGCTTATCTCCGGGCAAATGTCCTATTCTTTTTCTCGTTGTCCCTTTCTCAAGGATTTACGGCGGCAAAGTAGCTAAGCGAATTAAAAAGTAAACTCAAAGTAAATTAAATGACAGCCAGAAGTTGAAGGAAGGCAGGCAGGCAGGCAGGCAGCCGGTCGGGAAAGGAGAACTGAAGCGGAGGAAAAGCGGCTCAGCCTCTCAGTTGATAAGGCGCTAAGCCCAAGGAAGGCAACGGACAACGGAAAACGGACAAGAGACAATGATGGTGCGGCAGAGGCAGGGGAACCGCAGCGAGGAAAATGTTTTAAAATGAAATCACTTTTAATGAGTCATTCAAGTGGCATGAAGCAGGCAACAGACTCGACTCGACTCGGCTCGGCTCGGCCCGCCCCGACTCCGACCCCGTCTCGACTTGACTAGCCATCCAGGCAGCATAAAAATAATAATTTTTACAGCGCTACAAACAAAAAGAACAGAGGCGAAGCACCAGAAAAGGAGCCAGCTTTGGGGGTCGAATTTTGTGGTACCCTTGAACAAATAGCTTTCTTATTGAAGGTAACTAAACGCATTTCATTAAGATTAAAATGCGTTCCATAAAATTAGATTATATTCAAAGATAAGCAAGAGATTTTTGGACCTTTCTTTCGTTCCATCTTAGGATATAAAGAGTAAATTACAGTGGCTATAATATAAATAAAAAGAAATACTTTGGAGGTGTCTATATGATATCTGTGAGGCTAGGGAACATTCGCCTGTTGCTGCTGATTTTTCGTTGCAAAGTTATGTTCAGATTCGAAATACCCGCCCCGCATTGCAGAGGGTACAATAAAGATTGCCCAGAAAAGGAAGGCAAAGCAATAATAATTTCGCGTACGGACACTGCCAAGTGGATGCTCCAGGAAGCGTCAGTCCAGTCGGCGCAGTGGCTGAGCGAGTGCCCGAGTTGTGCCCCTGCCACCAGTGCAGGAAATCACCAGCAATGCGGCATCAACAAGTGGTCTCGACTCTCTCTCCGTGATTCAGCTCCTGCGGCCATTTCACTTTGCTTTTCATTTTATTGCTAATTTTTTTTGCGCTCTTTCTCAGCGAGTTTTTGCAAATTATAATGACAGCCCCCGGTCCAGATGCGGAATGGAATAGACTGTTAGTGTCGGGCGTGGCGCCGCTCTGGGGGTCTGGTGGTCTGTGGGTCTGGGGGTCTGTGTGTCCGGGGGGTGGTCGGTGGTCCATGGAGGCGAAATAGACATTTAATGAAACGAAACGACAACAAATTGTTTAAACATTATTTGCGCTTTCCCTTTGCCGTTTGCCTTTCCTTTCTGCAGCCATTGCTTCTGTTCATCTTTGCTCGTTTTTTTCTTGTCTTTTCTTTTCTTTTATACGTTATTGTTAATAAACAGCCATTACAAGGCAGATAATGAACGAGAAGGAGACACTACTACTTGGGGACAGAACAGGAGAGGAGGACAGTGTCTCTTGCCCAGCTTGCAAATTGAAATTGTGGACGCTTTGACAGCAAACGGGGTGTGGGGGGAAATCATTCATACAATAATTTGTAAAAGGGTTTCAAAATTCAAGATGCCATTTCCCCAGATACCCCATACCAGAGAAAGGACTCAAAGGAGCAAAGCAGCAACCGTCCACTGAGGCAAGATTTCTGCAGAGCTTTGAACAAAACTAAACAGTTGTTGATTTAAATTAAATTTAAAAAGTGTGTACTAGCGTGGAAATTTATGTTACTTGGAGTGTTACTGTTTATATTTACAGCAATTAATATTGACTTTCACATGAAAGTCGGTGGCACATTCCACCGAACAAACAGCCTTTATTTTAATTTTCAATTAATTTTAAGCTCATGTTCATGCATAAATGTGTATGTAAATATGCATAGTAGTAGCAGATATTAATCTAATTTGTGTATTGATGGTGGAGGTTCTAAGATGGCGAAGCCTCAGGACCAGGCTGGGCATACAGAGCGGTCCACTCGCGTGCCTTGCGCTCGTACTCCGGGCGATCATTCACGTACAAATCGGTGATGGCACTGTCCACAGATTTGTCGGGATTGGGTTGCGCCAGCAGCGATCGGATGGTCACAAAGAGATGCCAAATTTGCTGGGACGGCGCCCATTGTTCACCCAGGATATCCAGAGATATGTCTCCGGCTTGCGACACGTTGCAATGGTACACCTTCGTGACGAATTTCACAAGTGGTGCTCTAAGCGGGTAACGCCCCGGAAAGCGTATATCCAAGCGGAACTGGCCACCGTCGTAGGGTGTGTCAGAGGGTCCAAGCACGGTGGCCAGCCAGTGCCTGATATCGCCATCAACGACTTCCGTATGGCATCCTTCCGGCGGATTGCGCCTCATTCGGAACAAGTCGCCGATGACACGCCGCGTGTAGAAGTCCGCCATGATGGGCTGTGGTCCGGGCACGTGTCTGGGAACAATAAGACGCTCCATTTCGCGAAGTTTCTCTCGGGGTGGCATTATCTGCAAGGCGACAATAAGCGAAGAAAACGATAATGTCGGACCGTATTAAATCTTCACAGCGTACCTCAGTTTTTTCGCTAACAGATTGTGGAATTTAACTTGAAGTTAATACAATTTAATGGAATTGGAGTATTTTTCTTTCATTTGGTGTGACCAGAGTGGTGGCAGTGTGACCAAAGTGTGATCGACTTGTCGATATTTTTCTGACCACTATCGATGGCAGTGGGAAAAAGTTACAAAAATAAAGAAAGGAAAACCAATTTAAGCTAAGATAAATTTGTGGACAGGAGTCCACAGGAGTGGCCTTACAGCCGCTCTTTGTTAGATGGGAGGATGCTTATCGATGGGGTTATTCCGCGCCTAACAGTCACAACATTAATTCTGCGCCTAACAGTCTCACAAGTGCTAGTGCACAACTGTACTTACTGTTTTAGCTCAAGAGAAGGCTGTTTTTATTCCAAATTCAATCCCAAATCTGCATCTTTGTGCAATCCTCGAGTGAGGAACAAGTTTCTGGTGATGGTGTTCCCCTTTTGGGGCGCCGAGAAGATTCCGGTGCACATTAAGTATTTGTGGCCTTTGGCACATGTTTGGACAGCAAACAGATTAATTCCTGCAGCAGGAGAGTTGTGGAACTGCAAGCACAACGCCCCGCCCGTGGCCGCCAGGCTGCTGCTGCTTGTGTTTTGGGCACACAGGAACGTGTCCAAAGCTGCATCACTTTCGGGTTCTGAACAGGCAATCTAGTACAATTTCGGTATCGAGTGTTTGGTTCGTCAATGCCCGTCAGCCACACGACATATCCACAAGAAAATGTCAACCACAAAGGTGCTAGAACATGCGCAGCTAGCAGTCTGCTGGTTCCTGTTTGTACCGAGAGTTGTTCGGGGACTTGGAAGACACAAATCCCATACTTATTTAGTAGCACAGCTGTTTAATCCACAAGAAAGTAATTAGAGTAGGTAAACTTAAAAATAATCCATTTAATCGAAACAGAATAGGAACAAATCGTGAGATCCTCACGATCCTTTATCGTCTGTTCATGGCTTCATCGATGGCGTCAAATATTGTTTCCGATTCGACGATTCCAGAGCCACGCACCGTGCCCACCAGGTCTTTGACGGCAATGAGAGGGAAACGTATGAGCGCGAGCACCGACTTCATTTCTTCGCTCGGGTTGTGCAGACTCCATTTGTGTACCGCTTGGAAGATGTGCAGTTCGTAGTCGGCGAAAGTGCCCCGCCGCAGGACTTCTTCAAGGGACTCCTTGGCCAGTATTTGGAAGGTGTCGTGTTTTAACAGTGCGGCCGAGTTTCTGTCCATGAAGTTGAGGCATTTCATGGTCAGCTGCGCAAAATTGAATAGCCGCGCCGTGTTGAGTATCGTGCACACGTTGCTGAGGGCCAGACTCTCCATTAGATGTGTGGCTAGCGCCAACTCGACTTCCTGCATGCCATACAGATTGGCCAAGCCGAGCACTTTGAAGCTGGCATCCACGTCCAGTGTGGATATGGACAGATCGCCCGAATAAACATAGCCCAGAATCACCTTGAATGACTGCAGCGGCACATCCAGCCGAATCTGGCGTTCCTTTGGCTCGGACTTGCCTCCGTATAGCAGGGCACGGAAGTACTCGCTGCGCGCGGCAAGTACCAGGCGGTGCGCCGGCAGGCGCTGATCCTCCACGTAGAACGACACGTCCGAGTAGAGATCGCTCATGCAGAGGCGCTCCAAGTCCGCCAAAACGCCCCCGCCGAAGATGTGCACCGGCCCTTGGCCGGTACTGTGGCGTCTCTTAGCGGCGACCAAGGACGAAGAGGTTGCCTGGCTAACCTGGCTGTTCATTTTCGTAACTGAACTTGGCTGTGATCGGCAGGTGTTTGTTTACATTAGTATTCCGTATATTCCATAAACTTAATCTTGTTTGTTTTCATCGGCAATTTAATTTGGTTTCTAGTGCGGGAAGTTAGCTGTGGCTAATAAATATCGATTCGTTATATCGATACATTGAACAGACTGCGATAGTGCGGGCACTTTTAACAAATAATTAACTAGCTGTTCCGTAATAACTGTAATTTATGTTCTTCATTTACTTGTTTTTATTTCATTTAATTTTTCACTCAGATCGATAAAACATTCTCCCCCATCCCTATGGGCTGTAATTCACATAAGCTTATTCACCGGAACATTGGGTTTTGGATTTTTTCCTTTTGTTAGCATCAACAGCATTGATCTGAAAGCGCTGCATCAGCCATAGCAGATTGTTGATTGTTGTTTAGTACGATCAGTTTGTGTGAGTTGTGTGCCTGATATAAAAAAATATTAATATTTATAAATAGCATTACAAATATTTGGAATTTTCGCCATAATCAACTATGTCTAATGGCGTTCAGTCGAACAACTGAGGCTTGATACTTGATACAAACTGATTTTTTCCAACAAAAACTGCCACCAAGTCATCAAGTCAGACTGAAAGCAAGACTCTACGAGTCTGGAGACTATCGAACAATAATTTTGTATTATGTCTCTCATGGCATCCCTCTCCACGCAGAAAAATTGGCAAGGTCTAATGTAAAAACACTATAACTGCACTATTAAGGTATAATTGAAGGAAATTTATAGTTGCATCTCCATCTAAGCTTTTGCATCCTAATTCTGTATTTCATACCAGATTTTCAGCGAAGACTTTTGAAGTCTAGTGCTTTCGATGCAGCTTCCGACTATGCAGTACTATCGATAGCAGCTTAAATAACTACTATCTCTACTTTGTGACAGAGTTCCCATCACTAAAAAAGAAAAGTTCAGGCAACGTGTTCCGTGGTGAAAAATAAAATGTCGCAAGAATGGGAATTTCCCGAGCTCGAATTGGTCTTTCGGCATTATAGAGAACTAAATTTAATGCGGCGACCATATGAAGGGGCTCCTCCACCATATTCGGAGCCTCCGCCGGGTCTGTCAGAGCCGCGCCATGGATTTATTGCGCCATTTCCACCACCACGGTACTCGGAGAATTCGGAGCTTCCGCAGCCAACATCAGGGATACAACCAGTGGGACCACCGGAGAATATTCCAGAAGTTTTAGCATCGATTCGCGAGGCCTGTCGTGCGTGTGTAATGCCTAATGTCGATACCCCGTGGACTGATCCTGAGCTGGCGATGGTCGATCTATTTCAAATCAAGTGCCCGTTCCATTTGCTCGATGACTGCCCCTTTCCTGACTGCGATCATACGTTCCGCAGCGCTGAAGGGGTGGTGCCTAAGCTGATGGCTATGAATGAGTTAAACCTTTTGACCACATATACACTGATCACAAAAAGTCGCCCTCTGTTCGAGGCATTCTTTCCGGCATACGTTAGAGTGTTTGACACACGGGGTCTGAGCAACCGATTGCTGCAGATGATGGCGGACTGTCGCCTTTATGGATTCCGTGGTGTTGCCAGTATTGGTCCAATCTTCACTGCCTTGAAGAGTATTCAAATGGAAAAGGATGCTACGCAGGCTATGATGAAGAACCTGTGGGTGCCCGCTGAGGCGCACACCTTGAAGGCAGAGACGATACTCGTATTGGAAGTGTTGGCGTCCTCCAACTGGCACGAATACGTCGTCGAGCTGGTCATGTTGACCAAGAGATACGGATTCACCATCCCAACTAAGATCTTCAAAACCATTCTCTTCTCCACCGTCGGTAGACAGCAACTGAAGAGAGCAGCTGTACCACTGCTAGCCATCATTCCCAGCCATGTTGCACAACGTCCAGACTTGTTTGCAATAGTTCGAAGGATTGAAACTTTTAATAAAAGGTATGCTATCACATTTAGTCACTACTCAGTAACTATGTATCAATGTAGTCTGTTTTATATATAAAAATAGAATAGTGTTGAAAATATCATTAACACTAAAATCTCTTTAATAGTTCGTGCAGTGGTACACCATCTATAGTGCTTTTGAGTTACGTTGCCTACACACCTGTCAATGGAAAAGAAAGGCTTGCGTTTGAGTTTTTTGCCTCGAACCATGAAATTAATCGGACATAATATATATATATTTAATTAGGCACTTTTAACCTTATTCCAATTTTCATTTATTCACAGCTTCAACGTCTTTAACATCTAACTTATGACTCAACCAATTAGTTACACATTTTTCCAATCAATCCCAGACAAAGTCGAACAAATGCTTTCGAATATTTCTCACTACTCAATTGATTGCTAAACTATTTCTCAATCTCTGAAAAGTTCTACAACTTTTCCAGTAGCTTTTTCTTCATTCGCTTCTCCTGATATTTTAATCCTTTCTTCGTTTCTTCGTTTCCTTTTCTTCGACTGCTCGCCCAACTGTGACTGATTTCACTTAACGCTCTCTGGATAGAACAACAATGTTATCATTTAATACTTATTTTTTCCTGTCATTTAATTTCTTTTGCACTTCTTTCTGGTTTTCGCCTTTGATGCTGCGAATTGAAAGGAGCCTGGGACTGGGACACTGCAATGCTGAATGCTGGTGGCTGGCTGCTGGTCCGGGATACTGTTGTTTCCTCTCAGAATCCGACCCGGTTTTATGGTTCTTTGTTTTCGCGCCAAATGCTTGGAAATGATTTTGTACAACGCGCTGCCAAATAGAAAATCATCATAATTTCCCTTTATTACCAGAGTTTTTACCCATTTGCCATGGCAGTAGTTGTTGTATGCTTTTTATGGACAAACTTTGCACTGATGCCCCGTTGTTGTTGTTCTGGTTGTTGCTTTAATTGCCATTGTCGTGGCTCTCCCTCCTTATAGCCGTTGTCATTGTTTGTCACAGTCTGTTCCACTCAGGCCCTGGCCCATCGCACCCCACTCGTCTCATCGAGATCTAGGGAGGGCGTGGCAAAAAAAAAAAACTTTGTCGGAAACTCCTTTGATTTGTTTTCTGCACAACAGTAAAAAGTTTGCGGACTCAAAGTTCTTTTTTTTCGGAACCATCGTACCAGCACCAGCACCCCACCCCATTCCGTTCGGTAAGGTACTGAGAGAGGTGTGTATCTGTGTGTGTGTGTGTGTGCGATGCTGCTGAACTTTTCAAGACAAAACATTTTTGAGTTATTAATGAAAAGTTGTTGTTGTCTATCCGGGTGTACATACATACAGGTGCAGGGCGGTGGTGAGATGGTGGGCCGGAGCCACAGTTTATATAGCAAATACAAGTGCTAACTAAATGTTATGCTTTCATTATGCTCAGTAGCTTTCACAAAAGTTTCCAGCAGAAGTTCGGGCAAGTTCTCTCTGTGCCCTGGACCCTGTGCACTCTCCACAGCCCCCCCTGGATATTGGCTTAGCTAATTTTTTCTGCTCTTCTGTTCGGTTGAATTCTATTCTGTTTGGTTGTACACTTTTTGTCTGTAGGGTATTATTATTTTGAAGAGGTATTTGCAGTGTAGAGACTGCTGCAAAATAAAGTTTCTTTATCAATCTATGTCTGTATATTCGCCAATTACTTATATTTTAGCCACAGATTTATCTGATTGACTATATTAGTTAGAATATTCACATTATACCAGAAGCTGGGGAACAAAAGCAAGTTCTTCGCTGTTGAAATTAATCACAATAATCACAATTTTTAAGATTTAGTTTGTATATCATTCTACACAGCTCAGCATATTATTCTCCATATAAATTTAGTGCACCCATTAGCTACTAGAACATCCGATCTGTTAAGGTATCCAACTCTTCGACTCGCAAACTTCGACTCTCTCTTATTTTAGTTGTATTTTCTTTAGGTGTGCATATAGACACGCATTTGTGTTTGCCTAAAGTGCACTTTTTAACTAACTTGTCTAACGCAACTAATGAAAAGATTTGTTATTAGTTTTGGTCCAAAGCAACACTCGAAGCGGGTGCAAAAAGTGGCAGCAAACACGGACAGACGGTAACTTTGCCCAGGGAATTATACATAAACATTGCACCCAAAACCAAACAAAACCAAACACATGGTAGACAAAAAAAATGAATACGTAAGAAATATGTTGGCAACTTGAAAAAGTAAATAAATATTTGAACAACTTCTTATGGCCAACTATTTGTTTGGCAGACGAAAAGAACAAGTTTGTGGAGGAAAACCCAAGGCAAAACCAAGGTGAGTTCAATGGCTGTTTCCAATAGGGGCTGTGAGTGGGGCTGTGGGTGTGTGCAACTTTCGAAGCTATTATGTGAAAGTTTTATTTTTCGTTGTCCAGGGCCCAGGGTCTGTCCAATCGACAAGTTTTTCCTCTTCGCTTGGCATAGGTTAGGGAGGAATTGGATTGGCAAATTGTTCAGCACATAATTTCAGAGGCAATTTAACAAACTAAATTCCAGGAAATTCTTTAAGATGAATGTTTTCAGATTGGTGATTATTTCATCTCTTTATTGCGCTCAATAACATTTACTAAACATAAATTCCATGGCGAGCCAAACGGCTGAGTGCTGAGAGCTGAAACCTGTTCCCATGCCCCAGTGAATGAATTTGGAAATATCCCACACTTCTCGAGCGCTTTCAACTAAATTGTTTAGGATGTCCAAGCGATTTGCTTAATATATTAATAAAACACATTCAAAGTCTTGTTCGAGCGGCCTTAAGTGCCACTAAATATGGCCATAACCAAAGGCGGACTCTGGCCATTGTTCGGCCCACAATTGGCATATTAAATTACCGATTTTGTAGAGATTTTCGATTTAACATAACATCCACTAACCGCTGCTATTTTTAGCCTTTGGTTATCTAAACAGATAATTAAGTCGGCTCTGAGCCGCTGCTGTCTCTCAGCTGATTGATTGACTTTATCGGCCGTTTGCGAGGGGCCTTATCAACACTTTGCTGGAGTCAATCTTTTTGGCCTGGCCCCGTCCGGGCCTATCTAGATGCAGCCACAAAATGCATAAAAGACGAATCTCAAGACGTATCTCAAACTACACAACAATCACAGGCACAGGCACAGGCACAGAACCACAAGGAGGCCACGCAGGCAAGAGTCTCCGATTGAAACGAGTTTTTAACGGCAATCGTGTAGGCCGAGGAGTGCCATCTTTATGGACAGGTTGAGACAACTTCCTGTGTCGCTGTGTCCCTCTCTCTCGTACCCACAGATTGGAGAGGTTGAGCTAGTTGATCGACAGACAGTTCAACAAGAAAACGAAACCCCAAAAGGATGACACACACAATTTTATGGTATTTTATAATAATTAGTTCTCTTTTATTGGCAGATTAAAATCTAGTGTAAAAGAAATTAACAAAAGTGTGGAGTGTTTCGGTTTTAAAACAGATTTAATTATTGCTTCTCGCAGGAATATTGACCTTTATAGAACTCCAAATGCTTTCTACTACTATGTAAAATGATAATACTATAAGTATTTAGCAATACATCAATAATGTTTTATCAATACTTTACACGTTTGAATCTAGATATATGTACAAGGTAATAAATTCACACTTTAAAGCTAAATTAAACAAAAAAAAGATAGATTTACGGTACACAGATAATAATAACATTTGCAATAAATTACACGCTTAATTATGTTTTATCACGTTTGAATGGGTAGCTGAATACTGAATAGCTTATGCATAATTAGCAGATTTACAAATTTACAAAAACACTTACAAATACGATTACTATACAGAACAGCATTTAAAACAATTATTCCAATTCGTTTCTTTTCAGCCCATATATGAATATGATAGCAATGGCCAAGCGAATGAGCATCTCTCGTCAGCAGTCGTAAATTTTTCTTCAAAGTCATACAATCCGGGACATCTGCGTATCTCCAGCTGACCAATGCTGTTGGACCCGGACCACCCGCTGCTCGTTGTGTCTGACAAACTGTCGTACAAGTTCTGTGGCGTCTGCGAATAAGCCAATAAAAAACAAAACAAATATAATTTGAAATTCCATGTATTGAATACACACACTACATATATATAATTTGATACATAACGAGAGTTTACGCAAAAAAAAAAAAAGGAATGAAACCAAAGATATTACTCTGAATGAATTATTTATGACATTTACATACAAATCAAAGCCGCGCGTGAGGCATTTCAAAATTACAATTATTGCATTTATTTTTTGTGACGTTCATTACCTGCTCATCAATTTGTAATTGGATTCGTAATATCAGTAATATTCCGTAATAAAAATGAGGCAAAAACATGACTGAAAAAAATCTCTTGTTTGCTGAAAAATTCATTGTTAAATGCTGTAAAAAGAATTCATTGGTAAATGCTGTAAAAAGAATTTATATTTATAGGTGAAATGATTTGTGTGAATTATTGAAGCTGGTAAATGCTGAAAAAAATGCTGGAAAATCGATGGATTAATTATGATTTGCTGCGACTGCTGCTGCTGCTCCCACGTTGAAGTCCAGATCCAGAAGCCAAAACCAAACCAAACTACAACAAATGCTCGAACGCCTGTGGGAAAGAGTTTGGAGAAGAAGAAAAGTCTGGCTAAAAGAGCCAGGATTAAAAGGGGCTTGGGGGCTTGGGCTGGGGAATTGGGAGTTGGTTTCGACGTCGTCACTTGGGGATTGGTGGCAAAAGAAAAACTCTCAAAAATATATATAGCTGCAAGGAAAAGGAACTGTGAACACGCACACTTAAACCCACACAGAAGTACGGCTAGGAAAATACTCAGCAAAAGAGCCATGTGCAAGGAGCCATGGCCACAGCTCCATGGCCAGGTGAAAATGGATCCTGAAAATTGGGTTAATTGATGCTTAGTGTTTTGCTTCTGTGTGAATGGAGGAGGTATGGCCAGGCGGGGTTGCAGGGTTGCCAAGGGTCGTGGGCGTGGTTATTTAGCGCCAAGTGGCTAATAGTTTTTGCCACCAGCACAACCCTTTCCCTGCTGCTCTTGCCAAGCGGAAACGGAAACCGGAAATGCGCACAAGGAAAAACACATACACATACACAAATGCCAAAATGGCGGCGTCGTCAGGGAGGGGCTGGGACTGGGACTGAGACTGGGGTTAGGTCAGTTATATATGCCATATACTATATTGCAATTAGCATTATATCCATTGTCGAATTATACACACCGGGACTGCCCAATTCCGTGAGATTGGCACTCAGTGTGCCACCCGCTGGTCCGCCATTGAGGCTGTTGCTCCCTGCCACAGCACCACCGGCAGCAGCACCACCGCTGACTCCGCCAGTGACAGTTGCACCAGCACCACCATTACCACCATTACCACCACTGGCCGCTGGATCCACCGCCTGGCAGTGGAGCAGCGGCACCAGCAACAGTTGGAGGAACAGCAACGGTAGCATCCGCATCGATGCCGCTCTAAGCGTCGTTCGCCTCATTTTACAATTTGGTATCTTGGCTATGTGTCTGTTGTACGAGTATTCCAGCACCGGCATCAACATGGTCCATTGGTTGTTGCTGGGCGGCTCCTTGGCTCCTCCTCCTCCTCCTCCACCGATGGCTCCGCTAATTGGGGACGATGCTCTGCAAAAGACACAGACGGGGGAAGGGAGTGGGGGTTAGTAATGAACTGACTTTTGGCTAAAATGTAATTGTAAATGTAAATGTAATTGCAGTTTTAGCTTTCGCATTGGCATTGGCATTGGCATGGCGTCGGTTTCGGTGAAAAGTATCTGACAGATGGCAAATTACATTTAGTTAAAGCTCCTGTTGCATTGCACACACTTTTTGTTGAATTTATCTCACGGATACAAAGGTATCTGATGGATGAAAATGTTTCCAATGGATATATATCTCACAAAGTTTACTTTTTTTTGTTTTGTTCACTTTTTTATATTGTTTTTTGAGCATATCTCGCAGATAACAAAGTATCTAACGGATAAATGTTTCTTTTTTATAGATACATGTGTATCTCACAATATTGATTTAGTTTTTATATTAAATGTTATTGCATTTTTCTCAAAGATACAAATGTATCTAACTGCGAGAAATACATTTGATAGAAAGAAATGTAAATATTTAACATTTAAATGTATCGCACACAAAAAAATATATCTCTTGAGCATACAAATGTATCTCACATCTGCAAATATGCATCTGGTCGCAACAGTTGCAATTAATTTCTCGTTTTTTTGTTTTGTTTGTATTTCTTTTTTAGTTTATGGCTGCTTGCACTCTGTTTGCTGTAGTAAAAGTATCTTGTAGATACCAAAATGTATCTCAATGTACACTCCTCGGAGACTGGCTGCAATTAAAGTTCTTTGCCAGCAGTTTAAGTTGTTCTGCTGCTGCTGCTGCTGCTGCTCCTCCACCGTTTACACGACATCTGCTCTGTGCAGATACTCTGTACATTCGCACACACACACACAACCACACACACACACAGAATGTATGTATCTCGTCCGCGTGCATCAAATTACACATTTGGCATATAAATTGCTCAATTTCATGTATTTTGTGCCTTGTGTCAAATTGTCATTACACCGCTCACGATACGGGACAGGCACACCCCTCCTTGGTTTGCGCTAATGTATCTTGCAGATACAATTGCTGAAATTGCACTTTTAGCACTTGGCCACGAAATGGGGAACGATGCGAGGCGTTCTCCCGCCTCCTTCCTTGCTTCCTTGTAGTAATTTTTGTACTTTTTGTTATGCCCGCTTTTCCGCTTCAAATGAGCCGAGATACTTTCAAGGTAGTATCTTCTCCAGCAAACGTATCTGTTGCTGTGTGTGTGTCTCTTTTTATGGTTTTTATGTCCTTTTCATGGGGCTTTAAATTATCGATTTGTTTATAACATTTTGCGCACACAACCCGCACACACCCCACAAGTAAAAAGTAACACCTTGCGTCGTCGCCTGTTTTCTGTGTCTTTCTTGGCGGCCCCGTCTTTATATTTATGCATTGCACTTGTGCCACAACTGTCTCTGTCTCTGGGCTAAGGGCTTTTGGGTTTTCGCACCGTTTTCCCATACGCTTTTCGTTTATTTTTGTTGTTGTTGTTCCGCTGCTATTGCTATTGCTGCTGTTGCTTTTTGTTACATTTATAAATGGTTTAGCGCACATGTGGCACACGCACAGCTGCGGCTACAATTTGTAACTGTAGCGCATTTATAAACGACGGAGACCGAGACCGAGACTGGTTCTGGTTCCTGGCTCCTGGTTGTGTGTGCGTGCTGTGGATCCTTGTGCAGCAGGTCCCTGGGTGCGCTGGTCCTTCAAATGTTTACACACGCTCAAGAACTTTTTGTTGGTCGTCAACAAACCATCAAGCAGCTCGCCTTTTGCTTATCAGCCAGCCATCCAGCGCGAGATACCAGCACTGCCAATGGCACTGCTCAGCGTTTCCCTTCGATACGGATACGGATACGATACGGTCGGCGGTCGGTGGTCTACGGTCTGCGGTCCAAGTCCCCGACTTGAGCTCGAGGCTCGAGGCTCGAGCTCTGGTTCGTATTTGATTTACCCTCTCGGAAAAACGTGCTCACATGCGGTCTGGTTGAATTTTCCTCGCCTCGCTTTTGTTGTTTCAGTCAATTGCCGCATTTTAAAAACGCATAAAATTGCTTTATGTTTGCCTTTGCCTTTGCCTTTCCATTTCCCCTGCCCCCGCCGCCCAGTTGAGTCTTTCCACTGAGTATCTGAGTATCTGAGAGTATCTTCAGCTCTTGTTCCTTTTTTGGGCTTATCCCCGGGCGTAAATTTATGCAAGGCGCCTTAGTTCGGGGCACATGACAGACGCGTTGGCGTTGGTTCCTTTAGGTTTTTCCCTCAAGGAAAATGCATGCCGCATGCCGCTGCAGCTGCATACAGTCCGCATCCTCTCTTCTGGTATCTCTCTCTCTCTCTCTCTCAGTATCTCTGAGTCTGAGTCTGGGTATGGGTATGGGTCTTCCTCCGTCTCCAGGGTAAGTATCTGTAAGTGGTGCATAAGTGGCACACAGAGAGAGAGAAAGAAATGTTATTGATGATTTATTTGCATTTGGCATTGATATATGCTAATGTTTTTCCCTGCCTGCCTCAATGCCTGCCCTGCCTGCCTGCGTCTTTCTTTGTCTCTCATGAAATAAAAACAAAACCAAACCAAATCGAACCGAACCGAACCGACAAAAAAAAGGTTACTCACGGTTCCCCTTGGATGCATGCACCATGGATTATGTTATCTCTTGCTTGAATGCCTGTTGGCTTTTCAATTTTTCATGTCCGTCCACGGCAGAAGACAAGAAATTATTATGGCATTTTTTTGTTCGTCTTTCTTAAAGTCATTTTTATTTGCATTTCGTGCATTTCGGGCAGACAGACAGACAGACACAGATAAACTCTACAGAGATACAGCGAGACCCGGGACCCGAGACCTCAGCAAATGGAACCCTGTGTCAACTCAAATATTTGATTTAATTCCCTGACATAATAATTAATCATTCTGCACCTTTTACGAGGCATGTCTAACCCCAAGGCGGACTACTCCGACTCTTTCTCGTTTATTTGTTTATAATTAAATATTATTTGGCAGTCCCCCCCCACCCCACCACTCACAAATGAGACAGAGACCCGTCGCGAGTGCCATTTATCAGTCATTCACTTAAGTTTCGTTTCGTTTTGTTTTGTTTTTCCTTTTTTTTTCTCAGCGATTCTTTTGTTTAATGAGTTACAAATTTGGTTTTCCAGTTGTTTAATGGCTGACAGCATTATAGATTAGTGGCCGAAAGTTTTTCTAGTTCTGTCCCTGCCCCCAGCCTCTGCCCACTCTCCAGCTTTTTAGCTCTCTTTTTTTTTCTGTCATTTACATGATCTGGGAACTGTTTGCCCGGCGGCTGTTTTTGTCGTCTGTCTGTCGCCTCCGTCTCCAGTCTCCAGTCTCTCGTCTTGTATCTGGCTACTTGGTAGGTCTCTCGGGTCTCCGTCTCCGTCTGTGTCTGCTGCCTCGCTAATGTGTTGCATGCGCTGCTGCTGATGCTGATGCTGCCGCTAGGCCTCCCCTCCTCTCGTGATGTGTATTTTTCTGGGCTAATAGTCTGTGCTGCCGGCTTTTTCTGGCCATTGGCCATTGGGTATTTGTGTTAATTGTATGCTCGTTATGAATGTTCGTTGGCATTTTAAATTATTGCACACATTATACTTAGAAAGGGACGCGGACGCGGAGTGGCACTCTCCTAAAACCAAAATTCCCCCAAACGACAAAAATATCTGATCTTAATTTATTGATTTTCTTTGGGGATGTTGCAACTATTATTTCAGGTGTTGCGGAAGAAACTTGTGGGATTTATTGGTGTTTGGAAAACTTGAGTGATGAAATTTGCTTAAAAGGGGAACAAGTTTGGTGTATTATTTCATTGGAAACAAATTGAAGAGGATTTTGGAACATTTAAGATGTTAAATGCAAAGAATATAAAGCAGAGTTTAGAGTTAAAGTACTCTTTGGGTTCGAATTTTCCCCTTTTTGGTAGGTAGATTTGTTAAAAGAAATCTTAGAACTACTCCTACATTTAATATCAATATTTAAATAATATTTTATTTTACACAAAAAAAGGAAGCTTCCACCTGCATTCGATTGCCATTTAAATAAGCTTTCGGTCAGTTACAAACAGTTTAATAGACACTTGCAGATATCATAGCACTGCCATATTTGGTTAATTTACCCAACGAAAATCTCTAAAATGTTCTCCACTCTTGCTCAACTCTCTCTCTCTCTCTCTTGCAGTGGCAGTCAGTTGATTAGCATATTGGGTAGAAGCAGTTCAGCCACTTCTATTTGTATTCGTATTCGTATTCGTACTAAGAGATTGCCTCATTCTACATATATTAAAAATTCATACACTCGACTGTCAGGCAGTCGGGCCTTGAGATACATTTGAAATTCAAGTGCCACGGCACACGCGCATCGCCAAAAGTGTCAAATTGGCAAAAGTGGACTCGGCAGTAACTCGGCCGGGGGCTAGAGGGGGCAGACGCGAGAAACAAACAGAAACAGAGAAATGAAATATTCTAAAACAAACTTTGAGGCCTACTGGAGGCAGAAGAAGTGCTGCTTGCTGTTGGCAAGAGAGGAAGGGGCTGCAGAGGAGGAGTGTGTGGAGTCTATAAGAAATTGATATCATTTATCAAACTGACACATACAGGGAAAAGAGCGTGGGGCAGCCACCACCATCCCAGAAGCTGGAGACGGAGCTGGAACTGGAACTGGCGCTGGAACTGCCGCTGAAGCGAATCTTTTCTTTAGAAACTTTTGCAAATGAGGCAGCAGTCAGCAAACGGCACATAAATAAACATGGAACAACAGCAGCAGAGGGTCTGGCGCGGTTGGGGTTGGGAGGCGTGGCATACGCCTAATTGAATTCAGCTTTCAAGAGTAAGCGAGAAAGACATAAATAATCAGAAGATCGTCGGTCCGTTGTCGTCGTTGCTCTGCCACAAAATTAGTTCATTAAAGAAGTTCAGACTCGATTTGCATATCCCCCCCCCCCATCCTTAAATGGAAAAAAATATATAAAGAAAAGTATGCCCGAAAAAACCTCAAAAATAAAATGAAACGAAAGAAATGTAAATTAAAGTAAACAATCCAAAGAGCTATTCAAATTGTTTTTTCCACCCTCCAAAAAAAAAAAAAAAAAAAAAGTTCCGATTGCCAAAAACTTCAAAAGTCAGCAACATGCAACATGA